ATCCACAGACTTACTTTTTACATCAAAAAGTTTTAAAAAGTTTTCAATTTTTGATATGCCTGTTTTGTCTACTTTTCTACTATATGTAGTTTTTATATAATTTGAAATGTCTTCAATTCTTTCTGGCCCTTTTGAAGATACACTCCATAAAACGGAACACAACTCTTCGTACTTTAATGTAATCTTCATTGTAGATTTATTAAATATGGTACTTAAAATCTAAGAAGTTTACTTATATACCAATTCTTGTCATTTCCGATACAGGTATTCCAAAGTAAAAAATTACGAATTGTCTACCTATTAACATTTAGGACTATATTACTATAACCTGTAATTCAATCATTGATATTTCTTATTAGAGAATGAATCGAAATTATCATACCTACATGATCATAAACGAAACAGAACGAAATGATCTGTCGAAAAAATTTAGGTAAAAATAGTTATAAATTTTTGAAAATGTAAGCATAATAGGACCTTTCAATTATAAGGATAAGCAAACAAATAGAAAATAGGTAAATATACGATTTAAATATGTTCTGTCATACTTAATACTAAAATATGAAAAAGATGAAATTAAAGGACACAGGTTTAAATGAACATATTTTTGAATGTAATTGAGATACTGGCTTGAAATTTTTTGTAAAGGGTCGAGAATTTCCATATCTAACTAAAAAATGATATTAAGGGATAAATATGGACTAAATTGTTGTAGCTATCTGCGACCCTATTAAAATTTTGATATAAATCATAGTTTTAGAAATTAAACAAATATGTAATATATGACAAAATCTTTATTTATGAACAAAACTCAATGAAATTTTCAACGCTTGTTAAATTTGTCATTTCAAATAAGAAAATGCAAAAAAAAAAATTGAAAAGGTCAAAGGGCATCCCGCAATTCCCAAAAATAGGAATGAAAATTCCAAAAATGGGATTTTTTACTTTTTTGCCCATAGGGTCCACATTTCTTTCAGGGCTGGGAAAATACTTTTGGAGTAAATAGAAAACATATTGAGGTTTCCAAAACTGCTTTCAGTTTTCTGATCCCAGCTTTGGGATTTTAGAACATGTCGCCCAAAGTTAAAGTTTTGATAAAAAATAGGTCATATTCGGAAGGACGCAGTGGCAACATTTTCAAAAAATAGGACAAGTTTTTTACGCCAAAGCGTTCTGCGTAAAGATACCTTTTAGAAAACTATATAACTGTTATATGTTCTTAAAGAAAATTTTATTTTATTAATAAAAGAGTTAAGACACATTTTTGACAAAAAAACGGCAAAAATCTAAAAATTTTTGAATTATTAAATTAAAAAACGTATATTTTTGGATCTGTAAATGATATTGGATCTGTAAATGAAATTGATTTTTTGTATATTATTGGAAATTTTGTTGTCTAACTAACAAGAGAAAATTGAGTCCATTTGGTCCAAAATTACGCCCGGTATTCAAAAAAAGGCGGACCAAGGTATGGTAAATTTTGTATCACTAAATTTTTAAATGCCTATAACTCGGATATTATAAGAGATAAGTAGTATGTCCAAGCATGTTTTTTCAAGATCTCGTCGAGCGCTTTCAGAAAATATAAAAATCTTTGTATTTGGGTGAAAAACAAAAAATGGCACGAGTTTAAAAATTTTACATGTCGTAGGTACCCTACTTTGAGCCGCCACAGCGCCGTCCCTGGGGCATCTGCAGGGTTCATCTTCAAAACTTAAACTCGAATACTCCTTGGCTACGCTCACGCCAAATTTTATCCCGATCGGATCAGCCGTTTAGAAATGCCAGATTTATTTCCAAAAAATTTCCATTCTGCCCCACTGTGCTGTCTTCCAGCGAGTTGGTGGTCACCTCCTCGCTCTTTGGATTTGACTCCTCCGGATAGCCTGAAGTGGCTATTAATGCAGTGGGTACTGTCGATGGCTCTGCGGTGTCCTTATCAGGCATAGGAATAGCAGTATTTTTAATAGACACATTCCCAATTCTGGAGATCACTGCTGTTCTGTCTTCTGTCGGGTGAGTAATTTCCAGCTCGCTTTTAGGATTTGACTCCTCAAAATTACCAGTACTTGCTAATGATGCTTTGGGTACCGTCTTAGATGTTTTAGTGTCCTTATCGGGTCGGTTTTGACATCCTTTTCAATCGACGCCTCCACAATTTTGGAAAGGGCAGCTGTACCTTCTTTTGGCGAGTTAGTGGCATCTTCCTCGCTTGTAGGATTTGACTTCTCAACATTGCCAGTACTTGCTAATGATGCTTTGGGTACTGTCTTAGGTGTTTTAGTGTCCTTGTCGGGGCCGCTTTTGACAGCCCTTTCAATCGGCGCCTTCCCAATTTTGGAAAGGGCAACTACACTTTCTTCTGGCGAGTTAATGGTAAATTCCTCGATTTTAGGATTTGACTCCTCAACGTTGTCAGTAGTGTATACTGATGCTGTGGTCCTAGGTTTTTTAGTGTCCTTTTCGAGGCTTGTTGTAACAGCCCTTCCAATCGGCACCTTCCCAATTTTGAATATGACAGCTTTAGAGGCGAAGTAAGCCCTACCTTTATTCTTGGCAAGACTAGCCATGGATTTCTGGTCGATACCTATTACAAATAAAGTTCCCTCAGGTTCTTCTTTCCTGTAAAAGACATCCCATTTTTCCACGGCCAGCTCAGCATTTTGACCTCCAAGAATTTCCAGTATACGTTCATTAGCCAGTTTACTGCCCCATCCTTTTATGTAGACAGTGGACTTTAAGAGCACCGGAAGCTCGCTCTTCTTTGCCAGTCCCAGCTTAGCGCCGTCCCAGGGAGGAGGGATACTTTCCACCAAGTTCTTTAGGGTGCTAACACATTGGTGAGATGCCAACCTCATCAACATCACGCCCATGCTGAACTCGCAGCTCTCGCTCTCTATTGGTTGTTTGCCCTTTGAAGCGATTGCATGGTCCACTATCTTATTGTTGACCAGGTCTTCTATTTTACTCTGTTGGTCTATTGGAATTTAGCCTGTCGGATTACCGGCATCGTAAACTGCATAGCAGAGATCGTCCCGGTGCCTACTTCTGGCAACTTTGGCGTAAGATGGCGGCTCTTTTCCTTTTCCTCCGTCTAGCTTCTCCTTCCTCGTTTTTCTGGGCTTCTTTTGAGATTCCCTTACCTTCGAGGTTGATTTCGCCGACGTGTTCGTCTTCGGAATATCTGGCTTGGCGTTGTCACCCTTACTCTCAGGATTCTCACTTGAGATTCCTTTGAGTGAAGTATGGCTTGGCTTCGACTGTGTATTAGAAGACGGGGAGCTCTTTTTCTTCTTAGGTTTATTCTCAGTTGTCAACTCCTCGGGAGACGTGATCCTTTTTGCCTCAGATCTTGTGAGAGAGTCCGATTTTTCCTTTGGAGTGTCGTGGGATTGACTAACTATGATTTCCTGAAGCATCTTTTTCAACTTCCTTCTCTGTGCTCCAGAAAGTCTTTTCTTAGTAATAGGTAGTTTAGCTATGCTATTACTCACCTGTTTCACCATTTGCCCTACTTCATCCTTTTTGGGATTTGCTATAATGGTGTTGCTATTATCTTCTGAGGTTTCAGAGTCGGAACCCTCACCTATATTTAAAGGCTAAGGTAGCTTAGAGCTCTCTCCGAGTACATCCTTCTCTTTCACCCCTATATTTTTGCCAGTGGCATGCTGTACACTTGACGCATTGTACGCCACGGAGGCCAAGGTACCCACCTCCGTAGTAGTATTTTGCTCACGATTGCAGGATGACGACGACACGTGACTCGCGAGTAGATCAACACTTGCCGCCGGTACTGGGTTATTTAGGCCTTGCACCGTAACTTTTATCTTTTTATTTTCCATATTTGTTTTTTTGTTTTCGGTTTTTTGGTCCGCGGGGAATTTAATATTCCCAGGTGGTGGACAATCTGTCCTCCCTCAGCTTAAGTGAAATTAAAGCTGGTAGAGGACAGATGGTCCATCACCACCCCCTATCCGCCACCCGGGGACGCGCTCGGTAGAAAAAAAATGGAAAACTCCCCCGAGTTTTAGAAAATATACGATGTTTAATTTAATGCTTGTTTAAAATATACATATGAACTTTGAACCTCGATAAAATCCTACATTTTTGTTCGAAATTTTTGAAATTACCCTATAGTGATTAAAAAAAATACAAAGAATATTGAAAATTGAGCAAAATACTCTGATCACTCTGTTTGTGCTTCATTACTCTGTTCGCTCTCCTAAAGTTGAAACACCGTTGTAATTTTTTGGCTCCCAAGGTTTACTACCCAGCAAAATCTTTGCTTACAATGATTACCATTAAGTACTTTATTAATGACTTACTTTGTATGTAAAGTCTAAAAAAAATCAAAATAAAGAAACAAACAAACATAAAACAGTTACTTTTTCTTTTTTTTCCTTTTTTGTGCACACGATATCAAATATCTATTTTTAGACAAACAGAAAATAAAATAGTATTTGTGTGTGAAAACTATTATTTGACGCACAATAAAACAGCTAAGCAGTGGTGTAGTGAGTGGAGCATCCAACTGGTAGACGGAAGGTATTGAGTTCAACCCCAGTCTGTGTCGACTTTTTATTTTTATTTTTTCATAAATATTCTATAAATAACTCTACTAAAAAAACAACTTATTTCCAACCAAATAATATTGACTTACTTTTGGAACATCTCAAACAAAAATAAGTACTTTTTCTAGTAGAATTGTAAGCACTTTACTCGATGAATTCTGGTGATTTTTCTAGTGAATTTGTAAGCAAATATTTTGCTGGGTAGTAACTGTAAAATCGGTGACCATAAAAAATAATTTTTAACCACCTTTTCAAAAAATGGCCCACAATGCGGAGTTGCCTGGCGTTTTAAGTGATTTCATAATATTGAGTCTAAAGATCAATGATGCAAATGAATATTGAGTTTACCTTTTACCCTGGAGATGATGAATTTCAAAATGAAATTTATTTGAATTCGAACAAATGCTACAAAAAATACTTTTTCTATCCTTTAGTTTAAGTTTTTCAAATTTATTTTATTCAATTAAAATCAAAAAATATAACCTCTAGTTTATTTATGTACATGATTAGCTTGCGATATTAACCCTGATATTATATTTATTTGTACAAATATTTATTTGAAAACACAGCATTTTAAAAATAATTTTGAATAAAAGAAGCTCTCGATACATAATATTTCATAATTATTTTTTTATATCATTGTGGTCCTCGTGGTTAATATTGTCATATATTTCTTCAACGCCGGGTATTTCTTTAAGTTTTGCAATAAACTTTTGATAGTCTATTGATTCATCTGGAAGCAAATCCACAATATTCTGTAAATAAAAAAGAAAGAATATTAAATTTAAATACTGTTCAAAACTAAAGGTAATCCATGTAAGTAAAATATTGGAATTTGATTTTTGTATATGAACAAAACCAAATAAGCGTGAAAGCTGTCTTACAACACCACTGCTTAGTTATTTTATTGTGCTTATTAGGTTTTCACACACACACGGTGTGTGTAAAAAAGTTGCTAGCGCGCAAATAAAACGGCAACTCAAAATAAAGCACTTACGTATCAGATTACACTGAAATTACAAAGGGAAATGAAAGTAGACCATCAGTAGACTAAAATCCCCAAAGGGTTTGAAAAAGTTAGCTCGAGTTTTTAATTTATAGGCATTTAAAATATTGCAATTTTGTGAAAAATTTTCCCATATATGTATTTTATATGTATGTAATCCAATGAAATATATAAAATACTCAATTACTTAAGGTCTTAGATATTTAAATTTATTAATGTTTATACTTTGTGGGCTTTAATTTCCTTTCTATGTTAATAGTTGCTAGTAAATACTATACTAAAAATGTTCAAATTTTATTGGATTTATCAGAAAATAAAATTAAAAATTTTAAAATTTGTACGGAAGTAAAATTAATTAGTTTACTAAAATTAGATTATCTATGGATCCCTTAATGGTCCAACTCTGATTTTTTGTATGTTGTTGTTGATATTATAAACAAATTTTAGTAAAGAAACAATAAAAATACGTGATACCGTTTTTAAGATATCCTTGACTCAAGGACATTTTTTGATATAATTATCCTTATTTTAAAACCATAATATTTCAAATAAAGTTTTGTCAAACTACAACACATAGACATTAATTACAGTCTAAAATAATTAAAATCGGATAAATATGTTAGAATATATACAATATCAAATTTAATCCTTTTTAGAAAAACTGTTAAAAATATAAAAATATGAATTTGGAAATTTTGGAGAACTTAAATTATTTTTTTTGTATGAAAAGAATGTGTGTACCGAATTTCATCAAAATCACAGGGGTTCATGCTCAAAATTTGTTGATATTACGTATGAGAAAATTTTACTGAAAAAAGCTAAGTTTAAAATGCCTATAAATTAACAATACGAGCTAACTTTTTAAAACCCTTTGGGGAATTGGGTCTATTAATTGTCTACTTTCATTTCCCGTTGGTCTTGTTCGGGAAAGATTCGAAGACCCAAAATTCTTTGCATAGTGTTTTATGTAAGTCAATATAAGAGTACTTAAAAGTAATTCAGACGGTAAGTAGTAGTCATTGAAAAATAAGTAGTTATATAAGTACAAGCCATTATCCAGTTTTTTTCGGGTAACTATGTATGTGGAACACAACCCCTCCAAAATGTGTAATACCCCCTCGTTGATTTTGCATTCTTCGTCATCTCTGGGGTAAAGGATTGCAGATTAAGAGTATTTTCCTAGCAAAAACAATTGCCATTATTGTATTCATAATAAAATAACTAAGCAGTGGTGTTGTGAGTAAGACAGCGAACTAACGGACAAGAAGCTCAGGTTCATATTCTCTGTGAGAATTTTGTTTTTAAAACAAAACATTTTAACTCCATATTTGTAAGTAAGTACTTATTCAAGTAGTGATTTGTAAGCAAACGTGGTAAGTAATTGCCTCCAATGTCATCACCGTGGTAAAATAATTAGTTAAATTGCTAATGAATAAGTAGTGAAAAGCGGCTGTTTTAGATTTATAAATCATTACTTTTCAATGTAAATTTTTGCTGGGTTCTTACATCAAGTGGATTAAATTTTTCACCAAAAATACTTTTGACAATAGAATCTTGGGTCGGCGTATCATTTGGTATTTAAGGAATTCAATTTTAAATTTAAAAGATTTTCCCAATAGTCACCGATTTGGACAAAATTTTCTAAACACGTAAAGAAAGATCCACGGGTGTGAGAGCTGACATTTTTCACTTAAATTTTAAAAACTGTGGCAACTCTATAGCCTTAAAAGTGCTTACAAATTTCGTAAAAAGAGCCATAACTTTTTACGTGTTGAAGATAATTAAAATTTTATTTTTGCATTAAATTCCTTAAAACCATAGTTTGTGAAATTATATACAAATTTTATTTAATATTTTGTATACATAATTTTTCCTAAAAACTAAATTCAGAATCATATAAAAGAAAAAATGTATCTTTAATTTTTATATTATGTCTCGGTGGAGTTTTCCCGTTTTTCCTACCGAGCGCGTCCCCGGGTGGCGGATAGGGGGTGGTGATGGACCATCTGTCCTCCCCCAGTTTTAGTTTAACTCAAGCTGAGGGAGGGCAGATTGTCCACCACCTGGGATTATTATATTCCCCGCGGATCAAAAACTAAAAAAAAAACAACATAGAAAATAAAAAGATGAAAGTTACGGTGCAGGGCCTAAATAACCCAGTACCGGCGGCAAGTGTTGATCCACTCGCGAGTCACATGTCGTCGTCATCCTGCAATCGTGAGCAAAATACTACTACGGAGGTGGGTACCTTGGCCTCCGGGGCGAACAATGCGTCAAGTGTACAGCATGTCATTAGCAAAAACATGGGGGTGAAAGAGAAGGATGTACTCGGAGAGAGCTCAAAGCTACCTCAGCCTTTTAATATAGGTGAGGGTTCCGACTCTGAAACCTCAGAAGATAATAACAACACCATTATAGCAAATCCCAAAAAGGATGAAGTAGGGCAAATGGTGAAACAGGTGAGTGATAGCATAGCTAAACTACCTATTATTAAGAAAAGACTATCTGGAGCACAGAGGAGGAAGCTGAAAAAGATGCTTCAGGAAATCATAGTTAGTCAATCCAACGACACTCCAAAGGAAAAATCGGACTCTCACAAGATCTGAGTCAAAGAGGATCAGGTCTCCCGAAGAGTTGACAACTGAGAATAAACCTAAGAAGAAAAAGAGCTCCCCGTCTTCTAATACGCAGTCGAAGCCAAGCCACACTTCACTCAAAGGAACCTCAAGTCAGAATCCTGAGAGTAAGGGTGACAACGCCAAGATAGATATCCCGAAGACGACCACGTCGGTGAAATCAACTTCGAAGGTAAGGGTATCTCACAAGAAGCCCCGAAAAGCGAGGAAAGATAGGCTAGACAGTGAAAAAGGAAAAGAGCCGCCATCTTATGCCAAAGTTGCCAAAAGACCCGGGACGATCTCTGCTATGCACTTTACGATGCCGGTAATCCGACAGGCAAAATTACAATAGACCAACAGAATAAGGTAGAAGATCTGGTGAACAATAAGGTAGTGGACCACGCAATCACTTCAAAGGGTAAACAACCAATAGAGAGCGTGAGCTGCAAGTTCAGAATGGGCGTGATGTAGCTGAGGTTGGCATCTCACCAATGTGTGAGCACCCTAAAGAACTTGGTGGAAAGTATCCCTCCTCCCTGGGACGGCGCTAAGCTGGGACTGGCAAAGAAGAGCGAGCTTCCGGTGCTCTTAAAGTCCACTGTCTACATAGGATGGGGCAGTAAACTGGCTAATGAACGTATACTGGAAATTCTTGGTGGTCAAAATGCTGAGCTGGCCGTGGAAAAATGGGATGTCTTTTACAGGAAAGAAGAACCTGAGGGAACTTTATTTGTAATAGGTATCGACCAGAAATCTATGGCTAGTCTTGCCAAGAATAAAGGTAGGGCTTACTTCGCCTCTAAAGCTGTCATATTCAAAATTGGGAAGGTGCCGATTGGAAGGGCTGTTACAACAAGCCTCGAAAAGGACACTAAAATACCTAAGACCACAGCATCAGTAGCAACTACTGATAACGTTAAGGAGTCAAATCCTAAAAGCGAGGAAGATACCACTAACTCGCCAAAAGAAGGTACAGCTGCCCTTTCCAAAATTGTGGAGGCGTCGATTGAAAAGGATGTCAAAACCGACCCGATAAGGACACTAAAACATCTAAGACGGTACCCAAAGCATCATTAGCAAGTACTGGTAATTTTGAGGAGTCAAATCCTAAAAGCTAGGAAGATACCACTAACTCGCCAAAAGAAGGTACAGCTGCCCTTTCCAAAATTGTGGAGGCGTCGATTGAAAAGGATGTCAAAACCGACCCGATAAGGACACTAAAACATCTTAGACGGTACCCAAAGCATCATTAGCAAGTACTGGTAATTTTGAGGAGTCAAATCCTAAAAGCGAGCTGGAAATCACTCACTCGCCAGAAGACAGAACAGCAGTGCTGTCCAAAATTGGGAAAGTGTCGATTAAAAAGACTGTAGCTTAGGGTAGTACAAACACCAATCCATAAGGGGACAAGCCCTTATGGATTTCCTTAATACTAAAGACTTGATCGTCAATAGAATCAGAGAAGAAGTATTAGATATAACTATATGTTCAGAAGAGCTTATAAACTAAAGTCAGGATTTGAGAGTTTCGGACGAGCATTCCTTTTCTGACCATCGGTACATAAGATTCAAAATACTACGGCCACCACCAAAGCCGATAAAGTTCGGAATAAGTCTAAAACTAATTGGACAATGTTCGGTTCCTTACTAAAGAACCGTTTATGTCAGTACACTTTTCAATGTCGAAATAAAGAGGACATAGACGCCAAAGTAGAAATGCTCACAAGTGCCCTGGTTGAATCGTTCGAGGACAGCTGCCTTCTGTGAGAGCGGATATCTGCCCAGGAGAAACCCTGGGTAACCGGGGAGATCCGGAACCTTGGTAAGAATCTTCGCAAACTATTTAACCGGGCACGGCGTAAAAAGACCGCAGTATACTGGGATGAGTATAGTAGTAAACTTGGTGAATATAATAAAATTTTTCGTAAAGCCAAACGAGACTCCTGGAAACTTTTCTGTGAACAGGTAGACAGCGTAAATGACGTATCGAAGATAAAAAAATTCCTATCCAAAACTCATGTCCAACCAGAATCTATGGTCGATGATACGGGCAGGAGGCTTGAGGATATGGAGGAGACAATGAAACTCCTAATGGACTCTCATTTTCCACCCGGTATATCGAATAACATTGG